ACCCCCCCCCCCCCCCCCCAAAACAAGACCAACCAAAATATCCACACAAAAAGCCACCCTTCCCTGCCCCCAAGAGTGTTTCTATTGGTTTTGCTTTTAAATTTGACTCAACTGCTTTAACACCCCCATCCCTTCCTCAATCTCATTTGTATTGCATTAGATAAAAGCAGGGCTTAGTTTTATTGGCTCCAACACTGAAGCTGGCTGCCCATTTTTGTTCCAGTTACACAGCAGAGAACTCTTCTTTTCATGGGGTGTCTTGCCCCAACTGTGCTGTCACACAGCAAGAACCCTTGGTTTCTGGTAGTTACTGGGGCTGCTGGGGGTTGCATTGTGCAGTGCAGGGCAGGCCGCCAGACAAGCCTGTCCCACCCTCTTCCGACATGTGACTTCCTTGTTTTCGATTCTGTCTGTGGCATGTTTGCGCAGGCAGCCAATAGAGGCAGCGCCTTGCAACTCACCAGTTCTGGAGGGAGCCAATCCTGCAGCAAGAAGCAGAGGCAAACCTGCCTCCCCTGCGCCAGATCCAAACAGCTGAATCCTACCCGACAACAGCTGCAGGAGGCCTCTCCGCTGCCCCCCTACCCCACACATCAGGCAGCAAGTTAAGAAAGCCCTTCATGGGTTAGCTCGCTGAGCGGCAAGGATTTCTGGGTGATCTCTTGAGCCTGCCACGTAGCTAGAACAGAGTTAACCAAGTGTCTGCGCTGCAACAGCCAGTTCAATAGAGACATACCACCCTAGGAAATTCTTGCCTCTCACCTCGTTTCTGGAGGATCACAACTACAGTTACACTTTTACACAGCAAGACCCACTCCCCCACTCTTCAGGGTGGGACTATTTAGGTTGGTCTGGGGCAGGGAACTCGGCCAGGGCCGAGGACCCCCAGATCCTCCTAAAGCTGCCCCAGGATGCCAGGAGACAAGCAGGTAGCGTGCAGGGGCAGGGTCTTCCTGCCTGGTCCCTACCTGCCCGCGCCCAATTCTAGGAGGTCACAACCTGGGTTCGGACCTGTCGTGCTGCCCAGGTCACACCAGCCAGGGATGGGGGGGGAGGGGGGTCCAAGGAGGACCGAGGAGAACCGCTCCAGCTCCTGCCGAGCACGTGGCTGCCCAGGGCAGAGGGGGCCCAACAGCATCCTCCTCCCTGGGGCTGGGAGAAGAGGGCCCGGGTCGAAGAGCTGCAGCCTCCCGCCACCCGCTGCTACGGAGCCGGGGCCAGCCGGTGCCCGCAGCCCCCCACCACGGGACCCCGCTCCCCGAAGCAATAAACTGCGACCTGCAAAATCACTGCGCGCCCGCCGAGCCACTGCCACTGCCACGCGAGCTGCACATCGTGCAAGGGCGGACACACGTGCGGGGCGAGCGCTGGTCCGGCCCAGCCCGCGTGCCCGGGACTCACCTGCGGCGGTGCCGCAGCACGGGGGCACCCACCAGGCGGAGGAGAAGAGCGTGGCCATGACCTCCTCGGGGAACAGCGTCACGTTGCGCTGCACCTGCAGCAGGTTCAGCACCAGCGCCATGAAGGCGCCCACCGCGAACAGCACCAGGCTGCGCTGCACCAGGTGCGGGCTCCAGCGCGGCCGCGCCTCCGCCGCCACCATCGCCCCCGCCGTGCAGCTCCCGCGAGCACGCCCGTCCAGCCTGGGCATCGG